CATCACATACTACAGACATGTTATATGTTAGATATGATATATATATTATGATATTATATATATGTTAGATATGATATATATTATGATAGTATATATATATATATATATATATATCTCAATCATGGAGGATGAGGGAGAGGGGATGGGAATGGAAGAAAAGAATCAAGATGTGTTGTGCATATCTACTAACTCCCACACTTGATGTAACCATGTACTACAACATGTACCAATAAAAAATAAAACTTAAAGAATTCTCATAAAGAGAAAATAATAGAGCAGTAATAATTACTCTTTTTGAACACAACTTGTAGGCACAGCTTTAAACAATTTTACACATAATATATCAGTTTATCATTAGAACCACTGTTTGAGATAGGTGCTATTACCACTGGTTTCTAGGCACAGATTTAGATACTCAAACTTTGGATAACTTTTCAAAAGCCTTTCTTTTCAAAAGCATCAGAGTCATGACTAGAACTGAGGTCTTATTTTATACCCATATTCTTAACCATTATCCTATATTTGGTGTATAGCAATTAGCTCAGGGTCAGTGCAAAATAAAAATGTATTCTCTCCCTGTCCCATTCCCCACCTGCTCAATACAATCTCAAGTGACACAGATTGGGACTGGAAGGGAAGCTCATTTGAGGAGCTAAGATAAAGGCTGCCCTACGTGTTCTTGATTTCACGTCTCCTGCTTTCCATATAAACTTATTCCGTTTAGTTAATAAATTGCCAAGAAGAGGATTTCAGTTGTGGTAAGAGCAGACAATTGGTAAGAGTCCCCGAGGAAGAGTTCAAAGTACTCTTGAAAGAGAAAGTGATGGACTACCTATTGGGCTGAGAGTCCATCTTTCTAAAATGACTCATTTTTGTACTATTGGCAGAACTGTTAATCCAATATTTATTAACTCTTGCCCATACTTGTACTAGAAGTTGAAGATAAAAAAGCATAAAAGACAAAATTCTTTATCTTTAAGGAATTCCAGATTACTGTATCAGCACAAATATGGACAATAATAAAAGTATAATAAGTCTGAGACTTACAAATGAGTTCATATTTATTCATAATCCAACACAGCGAGTCTTATACAGTACACCTGTAAATCTTATACAGTATGCATGTGAAAGTTCACAACTCGAATGTTTATAAGTCAGGATTTTACTGTACATTCAAGGTGTCGCTGGAAACCAGAGGAAAGAGAAGTATGGTGGAAATCACAAAAGACTTCTACAATTAAAATTCTATCAAGGAGAAAATAGGGTATGCCATTTCCACTAGAAGAATAATTTAATAATAGCAGTAATAATAACTGATATTTAATGCAACAGTGTTATGTACATCTAAAATCTCATTTTATCTTTACAAAGCCTTCAAGGTATGTGTTACTCACTCAGTTTTTCAGATGATGATATAGAAGTTTAGTGAAGTCAGTTACTTTCTCTGGTTTGTGCTTCTGGTAAACGAGAGAGCTAGAGGATTCAAACCAAATTTCCTTTGATCTCAGACACATACAACCTCATGTACTACAGCTTTATGGAAGTACCCACAGTATTTGGAGAATGGTGAGTGAGTTGATTAGTCTTGAGCTGCATCAGAAAATTTTTTCTGTAAGGAATCAGTAAATACCTTAGATTTTGCAGAACGCATACTTTATTTGTCACGACTTTTCAATTTTTGTTGGAAGGTAAATCAGCCACAAACATAAGTGAATAATATTTTTCAACCCTTCAAAAAAATAATTCAAAATCATTCCTATTTAGTGAGCCATATGAAAACATGAGGGTTAATGAGAATTGCGGGACAAAAGGTAGAATGCCTGGTGGGTAGTAATTAGATTCTAAAATATACTGGATGCTATCCTCAGAGACAGGGGAGTCTTTGAAAGGCTTTCACACAGGGAAATGGCATGTCCAATTCTGGTTTTTGTTTGTTTGCTTTTGGTATTCTAGAGGCATGGTGGGGTAGATCAGAGAAGAAGTTCTTATTAAAGTGTGGTGAAAATACTCTTCTATAGAGTTCTTTGTCCACACTATGCTTTGTATCTTGTAGAGTTCTTTCATTAAAATACAGCTGTCAACTGTCAATACTTGACAACTTTTAAATTAGTTTACATTTCCAATAACGCGTGATGAAATGAACAACTACTTTGAAGAAAAAGAGACACTACAGTACCCAGTGCTGATCCCGTGGTGTCATGGTGTGAAATCCAGCAATACTATTATTCTTTGTTCAGAGTGATTTTAGCCTGCTTTGGTTTGTTTAATCTTAACATACATGAAGATATGGATAACTGCATGTGTGTTTCAATGTTTACGATTGTTAACCATATTACTAAGTTTTTGTTGGATAGTTGAACAGAACTGTTTGCAGTCTCGCTGTTTGAATCCCCACTTTGTATGCTTCACTTTTGTAACTTGCACAGCTATTTGTAAGAGGACAATACATAATTATCAACTAGTGATTTTTACTGTTTATTTTTTCTTTGGAAGTATGTATTATTTCTACCCTTTTCCTGTTTTGTTTATACCTTCTTTAAATAAAACAAAATTAGTTTACATTTTCCTAGTTTGATTATTGGACTGTCCTCTTAAAAAGAGACAAAAATATTACCTGGCAAGTGCAAGGTTATGAGTTCAATCCCCAGTACAAAAAACAAAAAAATTTTTTTAAATCGCCAGGGATATAGCTCAGTGGCACAGTCCCTGCCTGGCAAGTGCAAGGTGTTGAGTTCAATTCCTGGTACAAATAAGAGAGAGCAAGAAATAAGAATAAAGAATTTCAAACAGAAAAATATAGCCAAGATTTAAAGCAGACTTTCCAGCAGTTCTCATTTTGGCTTGTGGTCGGTCTCTTTGCTCAGGCTGTCCTTTTTCCTCTGGATGGGGCCAACATGGCGCTTGTTGAGAAGACAGAGAGGAAGTTCTCTTGAGTTCAAATCATAGCCCCCAGGTGAGCTCCATTATTGCAAAAATGAGAAAATGAAAACCTAAATTATGTTTTTAAATTTCAACAGTACAGTTGACAGTGGGTTTTGTTTTGTTTTGTACCACGGATCAAACTCATGACCTTGAGCTTCCCAGGCAGACGCTGTGCCACTGAGTTAAATCCTCAGCTAGTTGAAAAATTCTGTATTCCCACTTTCTTTCAGGTGCCCTTGCTTTCTTGTATTGCCATATTACTTTTTTTTTTGACTCTGCTATAAGGTTGAGTACAACTGAAAATTTACCCTTAAAATTATTGACTGTCTGAATCTCGATCTCATTGGATATTTGTGGCAAAAGAGACTTTAAAGTTGTCCAGTATGACCTCTCATCACAGCAATGATGGTACTCCTCAGTGAGCTTGCCTTCTAGCTTATACACAAACACTTCTGCAAGTGAATAGTTCAGTATTTAACTCTCCTCACAACAGTAATTTCTTCCACCTTGGGGAGGGATGAGCCACAAGATGTATTTTAATTTTTTGTAAAGTGTGTTTAAATTTTCCCTTGTAACTTTCACCAATTATTTCTAATTTTTCTGCCTAGGAAGATACAGTACACATTTCCATTTTTCCTTCATGGTGACCTTTGGAATATTTTATGACATCTCAAAAGTTTCTCTTAAGTCTCTAACATAAATGTTCTCAGTGCCTTCCACCCTTCTAATATAGCATGTCCTTTACTGATAAGCTCTCTTCTCTAGACAGACAAGCTCCCCACCAGTCCTTTATCAATAAGCTCTCTTCTCTAGATAGACAACCTCTGGGTTCTCATTTTTCTTTTTAAGTTGCAGGTCCAAGAACTGAAAAGAAGGTTCTGACAGCGATTGGACTTGCTCTAACCCTGATAAATGTGTTTCCTTGGTTTTAAGCATTGTGGGATCACTGTGGAACCTGTTTGTAAGTAATTAGGACCAGTCTCTGTTTCAAAATCTGTTAAGAACTGTATAAATCCAAGAGAAAAACTACAAAAGGTGTCAGCAGTAAGGCTAGCTCAATAGGAAGCAAAGTTTCATACCAAGGATTGATCCACCGTGACACTGCCACCCCACCCTAAAGACCCAGCCTAGATTCAGCTCATTTCTTCAACATCTATAAATGTCTATCACATGCCAGGCACTCTTCTATAATCTAGTGATATGCAATGAATGAAGAAAATAAAAATTTATACATTCTTGTAAGGGAGACTGACAATTTGAATACTGTATACTACAGAAAATGACATTTGAACAAATACTTGGAGGAAGAAAGGACAATAGCTATAATGAAATATGGAGAAAGAGAATTTGCAACAGTGAGAGCAGAAAACCCAAAAAAGCTCTAAAGCTGCACATGGTGGCTTATACTTATAATCCTAGCATTTGGGAGGCCAAAGTAGGCTGCCAGCCTGAACTACACAGCAAGACCCCGTCTCAAAAAGTACAACTGATATTGTGGCACCCATTGTTGATTTCTTATTGTCTTGTTTTGAAGTCCTGCATCACCTTCATTGTTTTGTTTTGATTGGTTTCATTCTGTTCTGTTTTGTTTGATTTATTATGTCTAATGGTATGAACAGCTATTTTGAAGATAACATGAGGCATTATGGTAGCCACTGTTGATTTTCTACTATCTTGTTTTGAAGTCCTGTATTTTTTGTTTTGATTGACTATAGTCTGTTTCATTTCATTTAACTTTACTGTCTTTAAAATAAAATTTAAAAACAGTGGAAAAAAAACAAAACCAAAATTCTGAAATAGAAGTGTGCCTTGAGTTAGGAACATCAAAAGCAGATAAGAGTAAGAGGAGAGGTAAGGGATAACGAGAGGGGGCTGATGAGGAAGGGACTTTGCACCCCTCATTGGGACTTCGGCTTTTCCTCTGAGTGATACAAGAAGCCATGGGAGAATTTTGACAGGGGAATTTACATGATATGGCCTACATTTTAACAGAATCACTCTAGTAACTGTGCTAAGAAAAGACCGTAGGGTAAGAGAATGAAAAATATGGGAGTTTCTGTTACTGGTGGGAGAAGGTAATGATTTGGATCAATGGCAATGATAGAGATGTTGAGAAGTTTCAGGTATGTATGTTTGAAAGAAAACTGACAATATTTGTTGGTGTGTTGAATGTGGAGTGCACAAGAAAAAAATGTGAAAGACTTTGAGGTTCTTTCTTAATTTAGCCAACACGAAGGATGAAATTGCCATGACTCAGGAAAACTGTGAGAGGAGCAGACTTATAGCAGAAAATAAGAAGCTTGATTTTTAGAAGAAGTGAAAGGTACAATTTGGCTGTTAAGTACCCTAATAGAGATGGACATAAAGTTAGCAATTGGATGGACAAATTCAAAGTGGTCTAGGATGGAGCTATATTTCACATTTATCACATATAGTTAGCATCTAAAGCCTAGATTTGAATTCAATGAGGCTACAAATTCAGAGTCTGCAACTCCTGTACTGTTACATATTGTCTCTAACATGAACATTAACATCATTCTTTCCATTCATTTTGAGTCACAGTCCAGCTTTAATCTAAATTGACAGGTATCAGACTTACACTTCCTGAATAATATCTCAGATATTGAAACCCTGACTCAAAGTTTGGAAGTTTTATATGAAAAAACAATTTTTAATGCTATGAAGCATGTAGTTTCTCCCCACTAAGATTGTGAATGTACAGATCAATTTCCTCACAAAATGTCACCCAAGGTGTGCTATTTGTGTTTGGTGCCCTTATGAAAACCCTTTGTGAAATTTGATGGTATGAGACAAAAAATTTTAACTTAATATGATGGTAACACATAGGATTGGAGTTTGAGTCCTGGTTCTAACACTTACTGGTTTTCAACTCTGGAAGACTGATTTTATGAAAAGAAAAATAGTGATGCTGATCTTAGTGGTTTGTTGAAATAATCTTATGGGATCACATTTGTTAATACATTTTATAAAGCACCATTTTATAACTAACCATTTTCTCCTTTGGGGTCTGAAAAAAGTGGTATATCCAAGTGATAGTTCTGTAGCAGTTACTTAAGTAGTAACAAAAATATAAAGAAAAGTGCTGGTAAGGAGTCTGTTCTCTTATTCAGGCTTCCAATTTAGGATTGAGGATTAAATTCGGCTCAAAGTGAAGATCTAGCTTCACTCACCACTCAACTCTTCCCTATGAGCAACATAGCTTTGGAGGATTCCTCACTCATTTTTAAGAAAGCCTTGCAGATACAGGTAAATACATATTGTGTGTTTTAAGAAGTGCCAGGGCACAAGTTTTTTTTTTCCTGAATTTCAATGTTTTAGTTCCTGTGGCCTTCTTTACCTGTAAGTTTCTTCATTACAGTTGAAACCACTGCTGGTAGGGCTGGAAAGTGGGTATGAGAATAAAAGACAAGATTATTTTCTGTTCCCCAAAAAAGGTTATTTAAAATATTTCCCTTTTCTGAAGATTTATGATACATGAGTTTTTGAAAGTATAGCATCATAGAGAAAGAAGGCAAAGAAGAAACTGAATATTTTCTGCCTTTTTTACATTCATATTATCCTTTGCAGCACCTATTTTTTTATATTAGAAATAATGACTTTGAAATTACAGACCTTTTGGTTTTCTACAAATTGTTTACTATTGCCTTAGCTTTCTTACTTTGGCTGATCTATGATATAGGTATCATGACTGTTTTGTGTCGTACGTGTGTGTGTTCTTCAAAGGAAAACTTTGTTCTGTTCAATTGTCATTGCTGTAACCTTGTAATTTTATCAAGGCTAGTTAGACAAAGTAGGCAAAGCAACATGTATTTATTAGAATCCCTGTTAAGTAGCTAGAGCTCTGCTGGGCAATTGGATAGAGTTTCCTTGGTGTGGAGATGGGTATTTTGGCTTCAGCCTCTGCATCCCTGGATCTCACACAGCATTCTCTCATGGAAACTGCAAAGGAATCAGAAATCTATCTTCTTCTTTCCTCAGAAGGAAAAACATGTGCACAATCAGAGATGGAGAAATCACAGCTTCATAACTGAGTTTATCCTCTTGGGCTTCTCCAGAAATCCCAGGACTAATTGGATCCTTTTCTTCCTCTTCCTCTTCATCTACTTATTTACAGTTCTGGGCAACGGACTTATTGTCACTCTGATCAGAGTAGATGTGCGTCTCCACACACCCATGTACTTCTTCCTCAGTATCCTCTCTCTATTGGATCTCAGCTATGCCACCACTACTGTGCCCCAAATGCTGGTCCATCTAGTGAGCAAGCATAAAACCATCTCTTACATTGGGTGTGTGGTTCAGATGTACATTTTCCTGACCCTGGGCATCACTGAAACCTGGATATTTGCAGCTATGGCCTATGACAGATACGTTGCCATATGTTCTCCCCTCCACTATGGGGTCCAGATGAGCCAAACCCTATGTGTCCTTCTGGCAGTCAGCTCTGCCCTTTGTGGTCTCCTCTGTGCCCTCATCTACACGGTCTTTGCAATGAGTCTACCCTACTGTGGTCCCAGTGAGATCAATCACTTCTTTTGTGAAATCCCTGCTGTCTTAAAGCTGGCTTGTGCAGACACATCCCTCAATGACCAAGTAGACTTTATTTTGGGTTTCATCTTGCTTCTGATCCCATTATTTCTCATTCTGGCCTCATATATTCGTATCTTTATAGCTATTTTAAGAATTCGCTCCACCCAAGGTCAGGTCAAGGCCTTCTCCACATGTGCCTCACACATCACTGTTGTCACCATGTTTTGTATCCCTTGCATGATCATGTATATGAGGCCTGGCTCTGAAGCCTCCCCAGAGGATGACAAAAAGTTGGCCTTGTTCTACAATGTCATCTCTGCATTTCTCAATCCCATTATCTACAGCCTCCGGAACAAGGATGTAAAGAAGGCTTTCCTCAAGTTGGTGGGAATGAGTGAGGACACTCAATAGGCCATAGACTATGAACTTTGCAGTGCCTCTGGTCATCACAATCTCACTGAATGTATTAAAATTAACAGAGTCTCTCTAGAAGAGGAAGATATCTAGGAGAAAACCACTTTCATATCAATATATTAGTGAAAACATTAGGAAAGGTCTCAGAGAAAATTATACTCAAGGATTAAAAATATACCATTGACCTTCTGTGACTTTGGAAAACTCATCTAACTTCTCTGTAATTTAATTTTTATGTCAGTAAAATGTGTTTTGTGATATTTATTATGCTTAATTAATAACTTCATTGAATTCTTTCTATATGTCACTAAGTTCTTTATATATACTTATTATTTTTATTCTTACAATTCTAGAGGTAAGCACTGTCTCCATTGTATAGATGAAGAAACTATGACACAAGAAGATTAAGTAATTTGCTAAATATTATGATTATAGAAATGACATCACTGGGGCTGGGGATTTAGCTCAGCAGCATGAGCACCTGCCTTGCAAGCAGGCAGTCGTGAGTTCGATCCCCGGTACCGAATAAAAAAAAAATGACACCACTGAGATTTCAACCCAAGAAAAGTAATTCCAAAGTCTAAGAGCTTATCTATTCACACTATTCTACAGAATTCTCAAGTAGCCAGTAAAGAGTTTTCTTTCTTTTTTCTTTTTTTTTAACTGGGAATTTAACTTAAAATCTTGCACTTTGCAGGCAGGTGTTGGCCACTGAGCTATATCCCCAGCCCCACTAGAGAGTTTTGAGGCTTAGTTGTGAAATGAAAAGGATATGGTTATGGTTTACACCTAAAATGTCCCCCCAAAGTCTCATATGTTTGGAAGGTGGTTGGATCATAGGGATGCTATACTCATTTCAATGGATTCATTGATGAGTTCAGTAGCTAAATGTGCTGCTGGGAGGTAGACCTGTTGGTGGTGGACCACTGGGGGCATAACCTAGAAGGGAGTATTCTTGCCCCCAGCTCCTTCTCTTTTGTTCTGCTTTCTGGTCGTCAGAAGGTAACCACACTGCCCTTCTGCCATGCCATTCCTGCCTTGGAATCAACAAATCATGGGCTGAATCCTCTAAAAACTATGAGTCAAAACAGATCTTTCCTCCTTTAAATTTGTTAATTTCAAGTGTTTTCTCTGGTGACAGAAAAGTGATTAATGGAAAATAGGCAGTGGGCATAGGATTGTTGTGACTGTACCTGACCACGTGGCTTAAAGCATCTGGAACTGGTTTATGGGAGCAGTTTGGAAAGCTTTTGAGAACAAGCTGGAGAAGCAGTAGAATGCTGTAAACAGAGCTTAATGAGTGATTCTAATAAAAGCTCAAAGTATCAAAATGCTGATAAGAACGCACTCAGGAGGCTTCACTTAGGAGGTTTATTAAGGAAATTGCTCTGAGGTCATTAGAGGGAGCATGTGAGAGTCAAATGCTGGATCCAAAAAGACTTTCTCCTTAAAGCTCTCAGAGCACTGAAAAATCCCACAGGAGATGCACCCAGTTCCACCCGCTCTTGGCCTGGACTCATTTCTCAGGTGTTTACACAGATTATTCCACCTAGAATGGACTCCACTTCTACTCCTCATAAGCCTTCTTCCTCATTCATGTATGTCACATGCATGTCCCCTCTTCTGGATGTTTCCTAATGTCATTCAGTGCACATGAATGTCCCTGGTTTGCTCTCCTAAATAGATCTTCACTCTTTATGTGGCCCATCTGCAAGTTCTTTTTATATCTTTATATTACCTCTTTTACTTTACTTTAAGGAGTTCAAAGCAGGCCTTTCAATTCCTTCAATGTTTGTGTACAGATTTCTCTCACCAGATATGCTGATTTATCACTATTAAATTCTGCCTTCCAGAAAGCCCTAAGACACAATTTTGGCAAGTTTTTTGCAACCTTAAAGATAACCTTTATTCCTGTTTTCCAACCTTACTCTCATCCAAGATCTCCGAGTGTCACATTTCTACCCATGTTCTGATCAAAACCACTTAAGTCATCTCCAAGAAGTTGCAGCATCTCTCCACAGTTCTTCTCTTCTGAGTCCTTAGTATTCCGTCCATAGAACTGCAGGCTTTTTCTAGTCATCTCCTCTAAACCTTCACACCTCAGTGCATTGTCCATTTCCACAGATGCTTCCACATTTTCCAATGTTTGTTATAGCAACAACCCCACTACATGGCACTAATTTTTTGTCTTCATCCATTTTGTACTTCATCACAACCCAGGGTTCTGGGAAATCATCACACTAGAGTTTGAAAATAAGATGGTTCTATTTGCCAACTCTAAGTGGCACTGGTATTTGACTCCAATTGTAGTGATTTCAAATTAAATTAGGCTACTTCAGATTTCTTACATTTCATTATCCAAAGGGCTGTCCACCCCATAAATGCTTAGGACTGATTCTGGTCACTGTTATGAAGTAAATGCCATATACCCTGACTCATTCAAGAAGGGAAGGGGAACTGAGGATCCAACTCAGTGGTAGAGACGCTCCACTGAGGAGGAGGAAAGGCCCTGGGTTCAATCCCCAGCACCCCAAGGAGCAGGGGAGGAGAAGGAGGAGGAGAGGAAAGAGGAGGAGGAGGAAGAAGAAGAGAAGAATAAGAGGAAGAGGAGGAGGAAGAGGAGGGAGAGGAGGAAGAGGAAGAGGAAAAAGAAAAGGAGGAGGAGGAGGAGGAAGAGGAGGAGGAGGAGGAGGAGGAGGAGGAGGAGAAGAAGAAGAAGAAGAAGAAGAAGAAAAAGAAGTAGAAGAAGAAATAATGATAGATGAGAGGGAGAAATTTTGGCTCCTCATCACTCTTAAGTCTACTTATAAAAATATACATTTGTTGGTCTGTGTGACTCTTCTTCAAGGCAGCAGGGAGAAAAGCTACCATCATTGGCTTGCTAATCATTGATATTTAACAGATAAATACTTTAGTTTCCTTCGGCTTGCGACTGCCTCACTATGGTTTCTGCTTCCATCTTCACACAGCCTTCTTCCCACTGTGTGTGCAGGGTTCTCTCCGATTCTCCCTCCTATTGTAAGAACACCCCTGAAGGGATCTAGGAGCCATCTTACTCTACAGCATGATTTCACTATAGTTTGACTTCACAAAGACCCTAATTTCAACTTTCTAAGGTTTAAGTGAACACAACTTTTGGGGAGATATTATTCAATTCAGTATATTGCCTGAAACTCATATCATCCTGCTCCTACTTGTTATTATTTTAAAGACATTCATAATCAAATATTTTTGGACAATTAATATAGGAGAAGATCTATTAATATCGAGAATGTTCTGGGAGCTGGACTTGCAGGGGACCCCCTTGGAAAGAGGTTCCTAACCTTGGCTGCACATTGGGTCATTCGTGCTGTCCAGATACTGGTACATTTTGGAGTGAGCCAGATGGATGCAGATCAGTTTCCAGGACTTTTCTCCAGAACTTTGTCTATAAGGCTGCCTTTCCTGAATTCCTCCGGCCTCCGCTGACACAGACTCCGCACATATGTGCTCTTGCTGACTGCAGAGAAGTTAGCAGCAGCACCTTATGTCTGCTGTGTCTGCTAGTTTGCTTTGAAAGAGACTCCATCAGTACTGCAAACTTAATGTACAATTGGTATTGTAATAATGAAAGAGAAAGAAAGTGTTCAAAAGGAAAAAACAACTTGTAGGTGTACAGGTATAACTGTATGTATGTTTAAATGTGCAAGGTAGCTAACCATACAAGTCATTCTCTGTTAGTTCCTCAAAAAGAATAGTTTGTGCTGTCACTGTTTATGGATTGTTTGTTCATTTTTTATGCTTTGATTTTGTAACTTGAGCAACTACTCCTAAGATAACAATGTGTAATATATTAAATAGTGCTGATTTCTTACTGTTATTTTTTTAATTCTGTATTATTTCTAATCTTTTTCCTGTTTTGTTTTTTAAAAAATAAAAAATTTAAAAAAGAAAAAACATACATTTGTATGACAAGTAAATCAATCATCTGACATCTACTGTGGATTCAGATCAAGCACAAACCACATGCATATTTTACATTGTCTGCCCCCTATTTGGTCAGATTTAACATTATACCCAATTTATGCTGTTACTGCCCCATTTTTATGATGAGAAAACAAGGACAAGGAGATATCTTTTCCAATATTATCCCACTAGAAAGTGGCAGAATCGGGATTTGATATCAGGTCTTCCAGCTCTCCAGGGTTTTGCTGTCATGTGGAATATTTATCAGTTGCTTCACCTTGATCCAGGTTCTATGAAAGATTCCACCATTGCTTAGGGATATTCTTTGCCCTCTAAGAAGTCACAGTGTTTTGGAACCCAGTGAAGACTAGTACCGAGCAGAGCAGGACAGAGAATGTGGGATGGAGAACCCCAATGGCTGAGCACTAAGAGGACCCCCCCAGATCCAGGGCCCTTGGGCAGCTGCTACTCATTCTCTGTGATGCACATAAGGCTTCCCTGACAGGCATCATCCCTTGGGCTTTTCAGGCTATGCACTTACTCCAACTGATGCTCACACATCTTTCTCCTGGAACTCTGAGAGAAGATGTAGATAGATTACGGAGTGTAGGGAGCCTTGGGCTGAGTGTGCAGGCCTTGGTTGTTCAGGGCAAGGGGGTAAAATGTGTGCTTAAGGAACTGAGAGCACTGCAATAGGCCCTGGAGGATGCCAAGGCACAGAAGACTCATTAAGAAGCCACCTGATCTGTCTTCCCTGAAGACCAGGAGCATAATGCTAAAGGAAGACCCAGCAGGCCCCAGGCTCATCCCTCACCCGGAGCCCAGCACCAGGTAAGGAGAAGAGGGGCAGAGACAGGGGCTTGAAGCACGTCATCCTCAAAACTGGGCCATCCCTGCCTAATGCTCTCCACCTGTCGGCTTTCTGCTCTGTCTGATTGGACACTTGCCTGCTTCCACCTTTTCCATTCACATCAGATCCTTCTTCACAGGTGTGACCAAAAACTGCTATGAATGTTCATATTTTTAAAAATTTTACAATAGTAGAAAACACA